TAAAAACAATTTAACTGATAACAGTTATTCATAGAAACAAATTATGATCTTAAGTGTATTATTACATTTTTTTCTTAACTGTAACATCCTACTTAAATTATAGAACAATAAATTATATGATAGTATTTTACTATACATAATTATTCGTAAAAAATATTAATAGGTACTTTTATCTTTATGCCTGTATAGTGATACATTCATAGATATACGTAATTTCATCGCGTATATTTTCGATGCATGCTACATTTGGTCACGCGTCATTTCATCGCATTATATACTTATAATTTATATAGGACCTATATAGGTATATTATTATTATTATTATAGGTATATTCTAAATAATAATAATATTTTTACATATCAGTTACTTAATTCTATTATTATATAAATTTTTATTTATAACAATAATCTAAGTAAAATATTTTAATCGACACAAAAAATAAAATAAGTAAAGCAGTAAAATATTATTTTTTACAAACATTAAAATTATGAGCAATACCTTTCAAAACTTCCCATATTGGATTATTACTTATGTTTGTTCATACATTTCTACACCACTACCAGTAAATTATACAGAGATATTATAGCATGGGGCGTAATATGTTTGGACGAATTTTTAAAAATTGCAATGTATTTGGGCAATTTAGCATAATATATTTCTGCGAGTGATTTTTAAACATTGTAATGTGTTTCGGCGACCTTTTTTAATAATATACTGGGATACTGTATAAAACTGTTGATTTAAGGATTACTGTCAACTGTTGATCTAAGGATTGAGATTGAGACCGAGGAAGCCTTTCAGCCTCCACTTCGGCATATCGCTTATAATATTACATGACTAAATTATAATCCATTTAATGGCGAAGTAAGAACAATGTAAATATTTATTGTCAAACTTAATATTAATTCAATGAATAAAAAAATAATTTTTATATACATCATGTCTTTATTTTACATAAGTTATTAATACAACTGTACTTATAAGGGTGGATACCACACAATAGGACGGGTGGGAAGGGGGGCGCACAGCCGAGAACGTAAGTGATAGATATGAATGTGAGGGGAGGGGCTGAGCCGAGCATGCCCGGGTATGAACGTGATAGCATAAAGCTATAGGCTGGGCAGGGTAGCCTGATTCAGCGGTTTTGCGGGGGATTCAGAACATACTAAAACATACTATTGACGTGGATTGGCGGTGTTTGTTGAGTTCAGGAGATCTACCGGCAACTCACTGGACAGTGTGACATATGAACAGCGGTTATTATGGTCTTTTTTTTAGGATGGATTTTATCATTCATATTATTATAATTGTTAATATTAATAGTAATATTACTGTTAGTATTATTACTTATAGTATTATTATTTGTTACCATTACCAAACTCGTTGCAATGTTTGATTGTATTATTTGTATAAGAATGTTCTTTGTTTTTCGAAGTATTTTGTCTTATGGCATCATATATTTTGGGGAACCTTTTAGCAAGGGCTAACAAAAGTTTGCTATAATTTTTATCCACGATTTCTACATTTGGTAATCCTTGTTGTTCTACTTCATTATTTTTTTCAATTATCTCGTCAATTTCAATTAATACTGATTCGTCGTATTCTATAGTCGTTTTATTCTTGGGTTCGTTAAAAAAAAAAAAAAAAATTTAATAATTTTTATACATTCTAAACTTAGTACTTATTAATTATACAATCGAATATATATTACCAGCCAGACTTAAACATAACAATAAAACTAATATGATATTTTTCATGTTAATTTTTTTTGTTTTTATATCTACTATATAATTATTTTCGATCTAAATAGAAAATACGTAACAATATTATTTTCAATTATAAATTACTGGAAAAACATTATAATATTATATACTTACATCGATTATACAAGAATTCATTACTTCGAACAAAACACGATTTTTAGAATGAATTACACAATGGTAATGTATTTAAACATTTGTTTAGCCTTAAACATAACTAAATGTGATTATTAGCTTTTGTTTGTTATTAGCCAGGCTACATATTATAAAAAAAAATATAATGATAATACACAATATTCATTTATAAGTATAACCGATATTTGGATGGCTGTGTTGCCTATACGAGACTTACGATTGGCCACTTACAAAAATCATCGACTAACGATTTGCAGGTAGTGACTATAAGATTGTATGCTACTCTCTCATTATTGAAAATATAATATCCGATAATGAAATTCAATTACGTACATGATATACCACCCGCCATGAAATACTATTACAAATCTACAGCTGACAATTACTTAATAACATATAAATAATGAGTTCAATGACTCGGTACCGTTTCTACAATTAAATTTTTTTTTTTTGTTTTTTTAAGTCAAATACTAAAATACGTGATTAAAGGAAATTTTAAAAAGTATTTATTTAATTTAACCATGTTATTTTATGTTTTTTAAAATAATATTTTTATGTGCCTAAATTTAAATTTTTAATAATTTAAAAATTATATTTTTTCACAGTCAAAAATCAACAAAAAAATTTAATAAATATTAATTTAAAAATATTATGATTATTATTTTTGTCCTGTTTTTTATTTTTTTTAAATATGGTCACCCTCGCCCTAATGTAACTTCACGTTTTCAATGTTCAAACAAATCGATATTTGAAAATATGATAAAGTTCTACTAGTTGCCCGACCTGCATAAAAGGCTGTACCATATTTAGGTTGATCTAAAATTCCCTATAGATTTTATATAATATTTTTTTATCTTAATCTTTACATTTTTATCTTTTATATTGTCTCACTTAAACTCATTATAAGAAATTCGCCTAAACACATTACTTTTATTATGCGGATAAAAAGGTAATTCGTCTAAACGCAGATCGCTTTCCTATAGCATTATTATACGTCATTTTATATTATTAAATATTCCTACCTACCCAAAAAGACACGGTAGATAATCTACTTTATCTAATATTATGATATAATGTATTATATTTTAAAATATATACATAAATATATTATGTAACATTATTATTGTTGCATATTCAGTATTTATGCATATTGCACGTTTTTATTTTAATAATAATTATAAATATAATGTTACATAATCGGTGGGGACTGTCCATCGGTTTTTGGTAAATAGACACGTTTAATACGTCTTATTCATTGATTTAGAGAGTTAACGATAAAGGACTATAAAATACGTTTGTGTTATTATTCATATTAATACTACACAACAATTATTATTATTATAAATAATATAATTATACATTTAAATATACGTGCCACGAAATGACGCGTGACCAAATTTAGCATGCGTCAAATTACACGCAACGAAATGACGAGATACCGTAATTAACACATAATAAAAATATATCTTTCAAATAGTTATGAAAGTATGAGAAATCATTTTATACTTTTGTAGCCTAAAATAACATTTGTGGTTTGGCTTAACAGTAGTTTTCCATAAGTTGGCTTAAAAGTTTTTATAATTTTCTGTTGTATAATTATTATTAGGTATACATAGGTACCCATTATGGCAAAAAGATACAACGATCAACACATTTATTACCAGTTGATTGATTGAAAGATAAACAAATAACAACCTACTAAGACCCGGTGCGCAGTTTATAATTGTTTAACTATTCATCAAACAAAACAATTTGTTCATTGTGTTACTAAGTATGATACAATTTCGAATTTAAATTGAATAAGTTCGGTGGGTATTAAAATATTTTTAATATTTCAAATAATGACATAATATGTATATGGTAACAATATTTACCATCCAAGTAAAATTTCTACAGGTAAAAATCTAGTATTTTTTTTTAATTATAACCGTTACGTCTTACAACAGTTATGTGTATATTTTTACAATTGTTAAAAATTATGGAAAAGGTTTATAATGTTTATATAGTTATCTCTTGTATGTTATCATCTGTACTTGAATAAGTGGTACAAAATTACGGATAAAATATTATTAAGATACAAATGGTACAAATATACAATGTTGAATGTAACACAATCAGTGCCGAATCTAAAATGTTTTTAACCCGAGACAAAATATGAAATTGGTGCCTTTTTATATCAATAACCTTTTTTTTTATATATATATATAATTAGAAATTTGCACTCCTTTATGACTATAGCACCCGGGCACGTGACCCGGATTGCCCCCCTTCTAGATCCGGCGTTGAACACAATTAAAAAACGAGACAGTCGCTCTGCTGTATGGATCATTAGGTTGATACTTGATATCTTTTATGCAATGCAATGAATGTGAAGATATATTACAAAACAAATCCCCGCTAACATATCTGATTATTTTACATTAGGTATTGTTATTGTTGTTGGACCGAGTTTTGTGGCATTAATTCAACAGATATTTCGGATTATTTCTGGTTGAACCGCCGTAAGATAAATCATCCATTCTCGCGTCGCTTAAATTCGGTACCTACCTACCAAAAAGTCTGTGAATGTCCACAATCGCATACAACTGACTTTCCATCTGTTCGAGTACTAACTAACAACCTCAACAATCGTTTACAAATATTGTCATTAATTGCGGAGGACCTTTTGTTGTGAAACAAACACGAAAACAAAGTTCTAAGACACTGCAAAACGTATACACCACAGTAATTGTATACATGTCGATTTAGGTAATTCATCTTAAGTTGTAGCAGATCTATTAATATTATTAATATTCGCGTGATAAAATTTGATGTTTGATAGGTCGCAGGTTGAGTACCTATAGCTGCAGGTCGCTGATATAAAGAAACCAAGATTATTTCACACACAAAATATGTATTATATGTATTTTATACTAGAGACAATAATAATTATATTATCTGGCTAATATTTTGTATTAGATAATATTATATATTTATATACATAATTTAACGTGTTACATGCTATAATAAAATACCTTATTAATTTATTACTTTTAGGTGGCAACCAAACATTTGTCGACTGACCCAAATATTGATTTTAATAAATATACTTTTACTAAGAATAAATAATCATGTTATGCGGCACTCAGGAAAAACCTTTACCGATATTCAAAAAAAAATGGAGACCCGCTAAAATTTGTGATCGGACGACATTGCTGGCTATTCGTCGTCCAACAGCCGCATCAAAATTCAGAGATAGTGTACCACGCCCCAATTATCGGCCACTAAAAATCTGTCTTCCATCATGGGAATCTAGAAAATTGGACGAAAAAATTCCAATGTATCACGGATACACTCCATCTGGTCCAATTGTATTCCACAGAGGGCTTATGGGGAAGGATCCTTTTCAATCAGATATTAAATTAAGTTTTATGTTAAACAACTTAAATGAAATAGCACACAGGTATAATCCATTACACGATCCGCATTTAAAACACTGGGTGAATTCACCAATTAATCGAAAATTTCTGCAAAAACAAGGACTCATTACAGAAGACAAAGATGTGATTTGCAGCCTAAGTGAATACAATGAGTACAGGCGATTTTTATTATGCGTACATAATGATTTGATAGCGCATAAACTAAAACTTAAAAAATCAGAAAATGAAGATCGCAATAAAATAGCCATTGCAAATTTTAATCATAGAAAAGAATTAATAAAAAAATTAAATCTTTTGAAGTATGATAAGTCAAAAAATAAACCACAAAATGTAAGTTCATTGACAATAATATTTTAACTATAATAGTGAATCACCTATATCGAGTTACTTCGAAAAATTACCAATAATTCAGTATTGCTATAATATTTAAATGAATTTATTTTTTTAAATTAATAATTTTCTCTTAACTAGTAAAAGTGATAGAAGGTAACAAACAATTTAGGCAATTTAAATTGGAATTTATACAATACATTTAATCTTTACTACAATATGCCTAATATGTTTTTATTTTACAATTATATTTTAACTATAAAAGTTTTTATTTAATTTTTGCCAATAATTTATGAAAAGGTATATCACAGTTTCATTACAAATGTCTATAGTAACTTCAATATAAATATTTAAAAAATGATTATTAAAAACAGATTTTTTTTTTTAATTGAATTAAACTATACATAATTATATATTTATAATATGCATTTAAATATTATACAGGTAACAAATAAAAGAAACCATGTTAAGCCTATATGCAAACTTTCAAATAAAGAAAGAAAATTACCATTTAAGAAAATTGAAACGTATACTATATTTGGATCCGGCTTGGGTGGTTTAATTGATCAAAACAAGTATAAACGTACCTTTATTAAAGGTTCCCCAAATGATTACTATTTATTGGGATTGTTTGATGATTTTTTTAAGCAACAAAAAGATGCAAAATAAAATGTAAAACAATTTCAATAGAAATCATTTGGAGAACTTTTTATAAAGGGTTTAAATGCTAATAAACAAGATAAATCATTTTTAAAAAAAAGCCAATCAATTTACATGAATATTAACTAGTAACTACTTACTATAATTTAAAAATATACAATGACAAACATTTATTATTTAAACCATAGAACAAGTTTATTATAAAATCCAAATCAACATTAAAAACAGTTTATTCTGTAAATATAAATTTAATGATTTAAAATTATTTTGGGTCTTGTTTTTTTCACATATTCTAATAAAAATTTTGATTTTAATTAGAGATATTAAATGGACTAAGATATTTAAGGCCTCTACCAAGTTTACCACAACATTTTTGAAGGATACGTAAACACATTGACATTAATTAGAAAGTAATAATATTGTAGTTCCCATCTTAGTTTTGATACCACAAGAAAAAGGTACATCTCTGTGCATACCTATGATAATAATTCTGCCACAATCTATTGTCTACATTCTAATAAATTAATATTCAATAAATCATTAAAATAATAATTCATAAAAAAAAAGTTAAGTTTGTTTTTACAAATAACATTTATTTATGTTTCTACAAAATTTCTTTAGGTTTAATGATTTATTTAAAAAATACAATATAAAACAAAATTATTTTTTCAGTAAACCTCTTGTGACTACATTTGTTGGATTTTCATATTTTTCAGTACCTGGTAAGTTATAATCGATTGATACAGCCTTGGCTAGATCAGACAGTGCCTAAAAAAAAAAAATTTGTATACATTAAGTGTTTAAAATATTAAAAAACTAACTAAAATAAGAGACTAATACTAATTATTGTAAGAAAAATAAATTACACTTACTTTAAAAGAATTAGGTTCCCAAATAGCTAAATCAGCTAAGACTTTCTTGTTCAACTGAATATCACATCTTGATAAACTATCTTTGAAATTATTTATTTCTATTCCGTGTTCTTCACACCCTGCTTTAATACGAGTGTTCCATAACTAAAATATTAAATTATAAAATTAAATTTTTAAAAATAACACTTTATAAAATATTAATTAATAAATCTAAATTTTAATGAGTTTTGAATATTATATAATTTATGTAACAATAAATGTCCACGACAAATTAATATTAAGAACTATTTTAAAACTCATTCTCAAAAAGTATCAATCATTTTTGAATAATGTTAGAGATGGCTATTTGGCTAAAACAAAAATTTATTTTTAAATTTAAACTATGAAATATTAATATAACAACTTAAAAACTTTCAGAACATTGTTTAATATATTTACTTAAGTTAACTTGTTAGTTACTATAAAGATTTTGCTAGAATAATACATTAATTATTTTAGTATTATTGTCAATATTACTTATAGATTATTAAATAATAGTTTTTATCTGCACATTCTAGACATTATTATTTAAAAATCAATTGCAATCACTAATCACTTCATCATAAAATCACAAAATAAACTTGTAGACAAAAACTATGATAACATTTTTATTTTCAAAAATATGTAAATAAAAGTTGATTTAAAAAAATACCTACTATGAAACACTTACAAAAATTGTTAAAATTTAAAATTATATGTTTATCTTTAATATAGAAGTGGTGTATAAATCGATTAAAAACCTAAATTTCATTTAATTATATAACTATAGCAAAAAAAAAAAAATATATATATTAATAAAATTAAAAAAATACAAAATGTTTCATATGTTTCATTATTTGTTTTTGTTATCATTATGCAATAACAAAGAAAATAAATTGTTTTGTTTATAAATAAGTTAGAACTCTAGACATCTTCTAACAAAATTTTACTCATAATATAATAAAAATTATGATAAAAGGAAAATAATATAACTATTTTAACTTATTATATTTGTCTATAAACACTAACTTAGTCAATTTGAAAAAACATTATTTTTAATTTATTTAAAAAATGAAATTAAAAAATACAAATACTACGAAAATATAGTTAATTATTATAATGTTTCACTGATTGTATCTGAATAAAGAATATTTTTTGTAAAACATCATTTACTAATTTAGTTTAATTAGCTAATATATTTCCTTAAAAGTTTCAGTAAATTAATAAACCATGTTTTCACTTTAATTAATTAGAGTAAAATTACTAAATACCAACTATACATGAGTAGTTAAAATAGAGTATCCCTATTCATTAAACCTAACAGTGGCGCCAACAAGGGATATTGAAGGATAGTAACTACTACTTTTCCATTAGTCATGAGGTATTTTTTCTACTTATTTCTCAAGGTATTTCTTAAGGTATTATATTTTTATTTTATTTTTTTGAACAATCTGCTGCCTAGTGATTTTTTACAAACTGTGCCACAGGCATCTAATAATCTTAATTTATGTCAAGAATGCCATTATAGTTAATTTGCTAATTATTTTAGCAAAATCAGTCCATTAAATGTGAAAATCTCTTAAGCATCAGGTGCAACATTAATAACTGCAATTATTCTGTTTCAAATGTAGTTGTTATATACTTTTTGAACACAATTTAAAACTAAATATTTCCTATTTTTATAAAATTAAAACCGTTATGATTTAATGGAACGAATCCATAATCTAATATTTTAGAATGAAGAGAATTGTTTTAAATAAATTAGGTTAATTTGTTTTCAAAATTATTTTATTATACAAACGTCAAAAGTGTTGTACTGTTATTTTAATTAAATTTATATTTTGTTCATAATAAACGCAAGACATTATATTTCAACAAAATCACAAATGGAAATTAAATACACTTTTATTTTATTATTTTAATTAGAAATAGTAAAATAAAAGAAATTAACAAAATACTATACTATTTATAAGTTTTAATTAATTTTAAATAATAATTAAATATTATACCTCAGTACCTGGTTATTTTACTATCAATATTACATTCTTTAATTTAATTTACAATAATATAATATCCATATAACTTTTTTGAAAATAATATTTATCAAGAAATTAATTAGAAAAATATTTCTTTTTTTAAAGACATTTTTCATTTAAATAAAAAAAAATACTATGCTATTAATTTGCATTTTTACTCTTTTGCATTAAAAATTTGTATCTTAAAATACATAATATATCAACATTAATGAAAATTAAACTATCACTTTTAATTAAGTAGGTAGGTAATTAAGTTAATTTTATAGACTTGTGCATCAAATTTGGACTACAGTTTATTTAAAGTTAATACTAGAACAAATTTACTAATTATCAAATTTGTAATATATAATAACATAAACTGTGCTTAAACAGTTTTTTCATATTTTTATTTTAATTGAGTAATAAATACTTTAACACTAAAATTATTTATTTTTAAAAATCCTGAATTTTTTTATGCAGAAACTACCGAATGCTGTAATCACATACATTCATATAGTGAGTAACTGAATTATATTTTTAATGCACATGTTTAACGATTAGTGTTGTAAAGAGCTTCCAAACTAAAATAATAAACAATAAATGATTGCAATGGTATTACATATCTTTACATAATCTATAAGTCTATTAACAATAAACTAAGAATTATAAAATACAATAGTATAATATGAATCAACATTGTACCTAGATACTTGGGTCATTTATATGATTCATTTTTTAAACTATTTAAAATACATAGATAAAATAACAAAAAACTGGTCAACTTAAATTAAATTATATTATTAGTATTGTACCTAGCATATAATTAAAAATTATTACATTTTAATGATTTAAAATTACATTTCTTTAATTCTAAAAATTAAGTCAATTTAAATATATTTTACGCTACAATTATAGGTATACTGTACTTGTTTTATATATTTTGTAGCTTACATCAATCATGTCACTTTTTCGCACTGTCCGCCCAATTGTTGCAAATTGAAGAGCACGGTGAACTGCCTTAATAGCAATAGAATAACAATTTCTTCGACGACCAGAAAAGTGCTAAAAACATAATATGTGTAAAATATAATATTATTACTCTAATGGAGGTAGGAAGAAATACTATAATGAAAATAAACATTTAATTAATCACTAGACCTGACTGGGATTAGTAAATGAGGATTATTTATATGGACATGTAAATAAGGGCCATAAACACAAATAATAGTATATTTTTAATCATTATTTACAGCAGCAATTTTGAAAATTTTCCTTTTTCTCCAAAACTCATCCGGGCCTCTACTTCTCACCATCATCATTGCCGTTGTAAAAACCATTGCGAATTGAAAAAAAAAAAATTAACGAGTACCTAAAGAAATAGTAATTTTAGATTTAAGACTATAAATTTATAAGCAACGAATGGTTATTAGTTATTACTTATTAACCGGTGAATTAATAGATTGAAAAAATTTTGATTCTGACCAAAAGGCAGATAACAGAAAAGAAATAATCAAAGTAAAAAACATGGTCAATAGAACTTTCGACTAAATTAATACCTTGGTAGGTGTATGACGTGATAAAAGATAATATTATATTCTTCATGTTATCATGACTTCTATATACTAAACAAACACAACAGTTTATATTACGCATGCGCAGACTACAATGATTATATTATGCATATTCTCGAGAAACTGAGTTTCGGTCACTTTCGGTCGGATTATCATTTATCAGGTGACGGGGTGGTTTGACCGTCGGAGGGCAAAGAACAATGATTACATTGGGACTAATAAATGAATATTATAGATTCCAGGAGCAGCAGCCATAAGTGGTTTTACAGGTTGTTTACTACTCAAACATGATTTTGTTCCACCTCGATGATCCAATGATTAAATCCATTAATGGTTTTATTGGTTTTAAGCATGGCCAAAAAAATGTGAATTAAAGTTTATTTTACTATTTAGACTTACACATGTATTTTTAGAACTATAAAATCGTGCTCTAAATTAACCTAACCTTTTAGAGTTAATATTCAACCGTGTCTCCTTAGTCCATGGGATTTCGGGAAAAGTGTTTGGACTCCCCGACAGGTGTACCGACTGCACGCCCACGCTACTGTGTCTCGCTTCTTTTCATTAATTTAATGTTCAATTTTAGTCATTTCTAACCTTTTATTGTCGGCGACCATTACGACCATCGTAATTTTTTTAAGAGTACAACCACTTTACTCTGCATCTCTGGCCTCTGCTCTACTGTAAGTATACGTGTTTATTTTTTCTTCGAAATCCTAATTATTATAATGTACGCATTATAATTATAAATTGTACGCTCCTCTGCCATAATTAAACACTATAGATGTAAGCACTAATTTGTACGATCGACAAAGGATACAATGTTCCCTATTACAACTGAGTTTGTCCGTCACATAAATAATGTAATAATTTTTATATCGTAGGTAATTTTCAACATTTAACATACCCATTGCACGAACACAGTTATTGAATCTAATTGACATGGTTTTAATTATTGATTTGTTGTTGTGATTGATCGTCTCTGAGAATACTCATTGGATTGAATCATTTCCCTCGAGTCCACGATTTAAATTTGTTTAGATTTATAGTTCTTTAGTCAAGCCTTGAAATTTATAATGCAGCTATGGAGTTAGGATGGTCTAGACTGACACTGCTTGTAATATAATCATAGACACAATGCACGGCTGCGTCGGTTTTGGTAAATCCTTTACAATAGTTGATGATACAGATTATTAATTATCCACCACGTTAAGGTTAAAAAAGCAGTTTTGTTTATTTTATTTGTTTTTAACAAAATATTTGTCTTTAAAAGTATATCATATCTTCATGTGTTATCTCCATCTATCTAGTGTTCAACATAGCAAATTTGCACAGTACAATGATTTTAGGCTGTTATCCTTAATATTAATAAATTTATCTATTATAAAACATTTAAGTTGGAATATTATTTAGAATATCTCGAGATTTTTTTAATACAGTCAACTTGTGATATAACAAATTTCATGAGACTGAGCAAAAAGTTTGGTTTATCGAAATTTGTTAAATCTAAATCATATATTAACAAAATTTGTTTTAACGTGATTTAAAAGAAAATTTAAAATTTAGATTTTATTAAGTATATACTTACCTACATGAATAATTATTTATTAATAAATATAAATTTTATATTAATTATGTACCTATCATATGTACGTCATATTATTTATTTTTAATGTTTTATTAGGTACTTAAGTAAAAATGCAAATACAAAATAATTAAATAAATAATATTTAAATATTAATAAATTGTAGGTATTATTCATAACAATAATTTTTTCTGCTATTATAACACATCTTTGGTAAATTAGATATTTCCCAGTTAACTGATAGAAAAACGAGTAGAAAATTAATCTCTGTTAAATAAAATATCCAATTTTATTTCAAAGTAGTGTTTTTTTATCTTTCTAAAAAGACATCATACTCACATTTGTTGTTTTTATCTTACTAACATGTAATAGATATACCTAAATATTATATGTTTAATAATTTTAATTTTATATTATTAGCTATAATATTAGAGTGAATCTGATATTTTATGAAACTTGAAGATAAGAACATTATCTGTGTTCTCTCATTGTATTTTTATGATATTCTAGTTTTTAAACAAATTATAATTATGTAAAAGATTAATTTTTGACACACATGTCATATGCTATCTACCAAAAACATCATAAATAAAAATGTATGTTACTAATTTTATCAATAGCCTGTAGGTTGACAGTTATCCCATTTTAAATAGCCTGTTTGTTAACAGTTGTTTATATTTCTTTAATTTTTTACAAAATGTTTTTTTTTATCTTGCAAAAAACAGTCTAAATCATTTTTTTGAATGATAGATCTCCGTCATTCTTGCGATTGTCTTTAAAGTTAGATTGGTTGATCTTTGAGCTTTGATTCCATACTACACTTTCATTTGTTTCCATAAGCATTCAATAGTGTTTGAGCATTTATATACCTATATAATTGTTGATACCGTCAATACAGACTACGGTAGACAATATAATAACTTATAGATAGCTTACGATACATGTGCCTAACTTTTAAAAACACTCATAACTTGCAATACAATTTTTAAGCGCAATATTTTCTTACAGGTACTAAAAGTTAAAAATATTTTTCTAAATTAACACTATTGTTACCTTTGAGTTTGATAATAGGTAAATTGACTCTAATATTAAAGCTAACAGTATAAAATAGATGCTCCTGAACACAAATTTTTATGTTGTATGTTAGTAAAATGGAGTAAACACATACTGGTGTAACGTCCTCTTAAATTAAATGAACTGTATGAAATATTGAAATTTAATTAAATCAGATACTTTATATTTAGATTATAATGTAAGAAGTGTATTCTATCATGTTATAACATTATTCTTCTTTTTTTTCTTTGATTGTGTTCTTTTTTTTTGTATTAAAATATTAGAGATTTTATATTAATTTTAAAAATATAAATGTAGATGGATGCATGTAAATTATTTAAACATTGTTATTAATTTTGTCTATAACACAATTTCTAACCTTGATCCCATATGTATATATATATATATATATATTTTTGTAAACATCTTGCTTTTATTTAGGTACATTTATAGATTTAATATACATTTTAAATTCTCATTACCTAAATTAGAAAATTTAAATTAATGGTTTTTAGATAGGTACCTATGAATCATCACATAAATTCTGATCAATTCTTAATACAGTAGATTCTTCTTATTGTGGACATTTTGGGACCAGCCCTGTTTGCCCACATTAAGCAGTTGCCCATAAAAACCAAAATTAGTTTAAAAAAAAAAATTATGTTAGGTTCAAAAAGTTTTTATTTTACCCACATGAATCATATTAACTGGTGCCCCCACACAGGCGGAATCCACTGTATTAAAAATATTCATTTAATTTTAGTAGACTTTAATATTATAACTACTTTTTTTTTTTATATAAGTTGGTTAAGCTAAACATTTTCACTTAGTCTAGCAAAAATATATTCTTTATTTGTATGTCTTATACTCGAGATATCCAAGTGTAATTTTATCATACTAAAATCTATTTGAAAAACAAATATTCCTTTATTATTATTTCTATTTTTATGTTATGTTTATCTTAAATCAATACTCTATTTAAATAAAACAAAATATCTACCTATCATGTTATTTATTCTTGGTTACTTAATTAATGTATGCAGTGGTTATAATAAAACATTTAATATTTAAAAATTGTTTTGTTGATCTCTGCTTGTTCTTACCAAAATATCAAGTTCAATTACTAAAATATAAAATAAATTATTTTAACATTTTATAAATTATAAATAATATGTATTACAGTAGTTTATTGATAATTCGAAATTGGTCCCCTGACCAAGTTAAAAATTCGATTTATATAGGTTTTCGATTTACTGAGTGTTTGAATAATTGGGAAAAAATAATTAATTCGAATTAAAGAGAGGTGAAAAATTATTGTATGTATGTACATATTACATTTATTTTGACATCTATTTGTTGTACAAAATATACATACATACATATTATTATATTTTACATATTAAAGAAATCTGTTATTTTTTTTGTGATAAATTGCTGGCCAGTGGCCACAATTTGGTTCATAATGTTGTCTAACTTATTGATAGCATTGAAAATTGTATCGCATCTTTTTTCGTTCATTTCAGATTACTCAAAAAATTGAGGTAATCCTGACGAAAGTTTAGATTAGGTAGGTAAGGTACGATAACGTTTATCAACTACGATAATATTAAACCACCAACGTTATAACTTATAAGTTTCATTACGATTATGTCAAATACATTGTACGTTATCTTCATATGTATGTACACTGTACATGCATATGAACTTACATATAATCGCGTTTAAGGAAATTCGAATTATAGAGGTTTATGGAATAAAAATTCAAATTGTAGAGTGTGTCCCACCGTCAGACATTTCAAATTATCGAGGGGACCGGAATACATGCATTTTCTTATAATTATAGAGATTTTCTCAGGGGACTTAGCGTTTAGTTCGATTTACGGAGTTTTTCGAATTATCGAGGTTTGAATTAACGAGTGATAACTGTATTATTTTTTTTTTAATTTACCCAAATTGTTTTATTATTTGCCCCTCGATTTTCCCTAAAGTGATATAAGTATGTTAGTGTCTTAACTGAATTATCTATTTCTATAAACAATCTTATGAGTTACAAGTTACTACAATGTTATACATATTCACTATGGCTTATATAAGATAAAATGGACTGGAAACTAATAGGCTGGCAGGTAACCAAAAGTTAGGAGAACCTTGTACTATCATCTAATTTATATGATGAATATAAGTAGTGTTTGAGATATGATTGCATTTTCAGTCCATTCTATCTTATTCTTAACCTAGTAATATTAATGTGTTTCTGAGAAGATAAATTTAAATATGTGTTGTATTAATTATAACATTATATCTGTAACAATTTATAAACATATTTACAGTGTGTATTTTTGTTTTCAGATTTTCTCAAGTAATTCTAACAAATGTTTTAATGACAAAAAAGAACAGTAATTAAAAATGGATATTACAATAAAAGAAATCTCTGACAATAAACAGCCAATTATTACTTCAACTAAAGATAACTCTGAAGAAGTATTCAATAATGACAATGAGGAGCCGACTGTATCCTGTACAATAATCAGTACAAATTTTAGTGAAAATGCTTTTGATGCCATTATAAATAATATTAAGGCAGAAAATTCTTCACTTTTTAATAATGAATATAATAGTGATTCAGAAGATTCTGACAGTATATCTTATAAACCTATTGACATTCGAAATGAAAATCAACAACTTGTAAAAAAGGATAATAAAAATGATGTAAATATTACTGAAACAAATTCACAGGTAACTAACTTGACTTTTTTATTGGTTTTAAAAATGTATTAATAATGTTAGTCAATTTACTTAACTGTATTTTTGATACTTTAATATTAGTTTTTCTTATTACAATTTTGTAAACTTATCCTTTTTTTTTTTTTACATAGGTGCTTACAGATACAGAACTAGTTGACAGTAAGTGTTATTTTTAAATCATAACATTTTTATTCTTTTAGTAGCTTCCACTAAATTTTTCTATCTATTCTTGTTAAGGAATTCTCTAATTATTTATTATACTGACTCATTAATAGCTCTGATAATCATTTTCATTATATCCAATCATTGTAGAAGTCTTCCGCGTGGTCCATCCTTCTCCAGATAAGTTATTAATCAAGTGAAGATGGTCACTACACTAATTTAAAAGGCAAAAGAAAAATATGTTTGATTAAAAAAAAAATAAAAAGAACATAATATAATGAAAGATGAACAGATTAAACATTAACTAAATACTACTATACGGCATACTCTTATTATCATTATCGTTGCTGTCATCTTCAATACGACTAAAAGTTATCAAAATAAACCTGATGTAATATAAAATTAAAATTATTTTTTTTTACAATTATAACATATACCTTATTAATTAGTTTTCTGTTGACTACTCTTGTCTAACCCACTCCTACTATTTGGCATAATATAAGAAAACATTATTTTTTGTGGTTTATCTATTAATTTTTAGAAAAAAACATGTTTATTGTATTCATATTTAAAGAATTTTTCAAATTTTTAGCTACAAAATAATTTGCAAATTTTTTAGATTTTGATAAATTAATAAATAAAACTAAATCTTATTTAATACCAGAAACTATCTGAATATTTGAAATTTAATAATTTTTTCAGCTATAAATAATATCTTAGACCACAATAAAATGTTTATATCCTTGTACAATTAATGCATTACATGTTTTGCTCAATATCTAAAACAGCGGAAAATACTATTTTAATCTATGTTTTTTAAATATTCATTAATTCTTCCAATGACCAATAGTGGCAGCCCTTTAGTACTGGTACCATGAATATATTTATGAAAAAAAAAAAAATGTTTAGTTTTTTATTTTACTAACACTAAATCCGATAAATTATTTTTTTATATTATTTTATATATAAGTTATTTATATTTTTGTCTAGGTAAAAGTAAAAATTCTGCTTCAACTGATATAAAGTGAGTATATTTCAATTTTAATTTATGTCTAATAATTACAGGTTATATTTGTAAAACAATTATAATTGTCATGATTTATTCATTTCCAAAATTGTATATTGTTTTGATATTTTCAGGTATTTATTGTCTAAATCAACACCACATATTTGCTTAAAAAGTTGTTTATGGTGTAAGAAACCTTTTCGAATTCTTGACACTCCTTTGCATATTAGTCGGATTCGAAATATTAATAAGCAAAATGAATTTTTAAAAAGTAAGTATTTAAATATTTTAGACTATAGCTGCTATTGATTATTTTCTGAATATGAATCATATAATATATCACTATTAATAATAAAAATGTTAGTTTCCAAATAGACAGATGCAACAACAATTAATATTTAAAGAAACATTACTACTAATATTGAATAACTGTTTTTAAATAAAATAATTTAATTTTTTAGTGCATGCATTATTTAGGTATTTTAACATGCCTTAATAGTTAAATTTTAAATGTGTAAAGATACAGAATAGTACATAGCAGATTTTTGATTGATATTGTATATTTGCTACTAATTTTATAGCTTAAATATTTATTAAATCTAAAAAACTATGTCTAAATGTTTAATATCTAATTATTGTTAGAGTCGATTTTATAACTATTTTGAACCCTTATCTGATAATTCCCTCTAATAATATTGATACATTAATATTAGTTTAAGACATATGTGTATACATAAATAATTTTAAATATTTGATAATTTAATGATTTTAGTTGAATCAACGTTAACTATTGATTCATGCCTTTGTGATTTTTGTTGGAAATTTTTGGATAAAACTTACAAGTCCAATATGGCTGGAAAAAAAACAGACAATTTTTCATTTTTAGAAAAAAGGGTTAGACTTTTAGAACGATTTCCAAAAAAATATACTAAAAATAAGTCCCAGTCAAGGAGGTGTTCAATGCATTATTGCTCTAAACCTCATATCCATAAAGTGTCTGTGGAACAATACAAAACAATTTCACAAATATTATCAACATTTGAATTTTACGATGTAAGTAAATAATATATTAATTTTTTGTATAGTAAATAAAAGTAATATAATTATTTATTTTTATCTTAGTTTGTTTTTGTTTCTTCCCGGAAAACAACTCCAGAAGTATTGATGTATCCCTATTGTCTTTGCAGTGACGATTTAGCCATAGTAATTATACTTCATTATATTTTTTTTAAACATAATTTAATATAATTGTTTTTTTTTTTTTAGATTCTTGTAATATCACGATGTCAAATATGTAATGACGATCTAAAAGAACCTTTCAACATTGATGACTGGTTAATGTATGACACATGGAATTTGAAATTGGCTGACAATAACATTCCTTTATTACTGCAACCAGGTATGTTCCTATGTGTGACTTGTAAAAAACACCTTTCTACAGAAAGTGGTGCTTTCCCGACTGTTGTCTTGCCAAAATTATTGGATCATATCAAAATAATGTAAGACTTATTTTATATAAATATATTTATCTTTATTAAACTTAACTAAATTTTAGGAGAACACTGCGCTTAAAGGTTTATGGACCACCATTACAAAACTTATTTAATATATGTCAAGAACCATCATATGTAGTATCTCCCATTGTTGTTCCTAATATGATGAAACAAGAACCTATTTATTCAGAAACAAAAGTTAAGTTTTCTGATCCTTTGGTAACTACAACTTATCATTATGAACTTGACAATGATGAAAACAATACAGAATCAATAGCAAACACTGAATTATGTATACCAAAATTAGAACCAATAACAAGCACTGAATCATGTATACCAAAATTAGAACCAATAACAAGCACTGAATTATGTACACCAAAACTAGAACCAATAACAAGCACTGAATTATGTACACCAAAACTAGAACCAATAACAAGCACTGA